TCAAAAGTCAGAAGCACTTAAATCGAATACATGCACGATGGGTTTCTTTTCTGGAGCAATTTAATTTTGTGCTTCATCACAAAGCAAGCCATTTAAATAAAGTGACAGATGCGCTGAGTCGACGTGCTGCGACACTCGTAATCATGCGTACTGATATTGTCGGTTTTGATCACCTATGTTCTCTTTATCCTGAGGATGATGATTTTGGTGAGATATGGGAGAAGTGTTCTGAAACAGGTTGTCATGGCGATATGATAATTCAAGAAAAATTCTTGTTCCTTGGCAATAGATTATGCATTCCTCGTGGTTCCTTGCGTGAACAACTCATTCGAGAGCTTCATGGTAGTACTCTTGGCGAACATTTGGGGCGAGATAAAACTGTAGCATTGGTGGAGGAGCGGTACTATTGGCCTCAACTGAAGCGAGACGTGGGGCGATTTGTCAATAAATGCTACATTTGTCAGACTGCTACGGGCCACTCTCAGAACACTAGTCTTTATACCCCCTTGCCTATTCCTTCGGGTCCTTGGGTAGACATATCGATGGACTTCATGTTGGGACTTCCTCGCACTCAACGGAGTTTAGATTCTGTTTTCGTGGTGGTTGACCGGTTTTCGAAGATGGCGCACTTCATCCCTTGTAAGAAAACTTCGGATGCTTCGCATGTGGCAAGTTTATTCTTTCGTGAAGTAGTCCATCTCCATGGTGTGCCGAAGACAATCACCTCCGATCGTGACACGAAATTTTTGAGCCATTTTTGGCGTACTTTATGGCGTTTGTTTGGGACTGATTTACAGTATAGTAGTTCTTTTCATCCCCAAACGGATGGTCAGACGAAAGTTGTGAATAGTACTATGGCGGATATCATTCGCTGCTTTTGCAGTGATATGCCTAAGCAGTGGGACCGGTATCTTACTCCTGCTGAGTTCGCCTTCAACAACTCGGTTAACCGCTCTACCGGTACATCTCCCTTTCAGGTCGTTTATGGGCGTACACCACAGCATACTCTGGATTTGGTTCCCTTGCCCAAGATTCCTGGCTATAGTATCGCGGCGGAGAATTTGGCGACCATAATTAATGAAGCCCAAGCTGCTGTTGCTAATCAATTGGCTGCTTCTAATTCAAAGTATAAGGAGGATGCTGACAAACGGCGACGTTCGAAAATTTTTGAGGTAGGCGATGAGGTAATGGTTTTCCTACGAAAGAAGCGTTTTCCTGTAGGTACCTATAATAAACTAAAGCACAAGAAGATTGGTCCTTGCTACATCCTGAAGAAGATCAATGACAATGCCTATGTAGTTGACCTTCCTGGTGATCTCAACATTTCCCCTACATTTAATGTGGCAGACTTATTTGAGTATCATGCTCCCGATACACCCCTTTATCCTAATCATAACTCGAGGGCGAGTTTTCCTGAAGAGAGAGGGAATGATGTAGAACAGTTAGCCTGTAATTATCTTGAAGAATGTGATCGCCGTAATCGCCGGAAATCTAGGCAGTTTTTTTGATTAGGCCATTTTTTTTACTTTAGGCAATTTCGAATTATCAATATTTCGTTTGATTTTATTAGATAAGATTAGATTTGATTTTATTAGATAAGATTAGATTTGATTTTGCTTTGATGTTATCTTCATTAATTCGGATATCTTTAGGAGTCCTATCATTATAAAAGGACATCCAGCTTTGTATTCAGATAATTATGAAATTGAATTGAATTCCAGTCGAATCGTAGAAGAGTTTTCCAAGTTATCGTTTCTTTCTGCGTTAGCTTAAGCTCTTAATTCTATTCAATTATAATTACGAAAGTTTAGTAAACCGAGGCAAAACAATATTTCGCCTTAATATATAGAAATACTAGGGCAATGTTAGACAAGATGGTGAGTTCATCTATATAACAGTATATGGCTCAAGGCCTACTATGAAATTTAGATTGGTCATTCAAGATGTATAAGTTAGTCAGAGAAAGTCCAATAAATCATGAAAATAAAATATATTAAACTTGTAACAAGCTTGTAATCTACAAAATTATGTGAATATCATTGTTTTTTCTCGGTTGAATAATGTCTTTGTTGAGATTTTACTGATATTAAAATTAAAAAGATAATTTACATCCTCTTATATTATGCGTTTCTATTGTAGTTAAAAGCAATGTCGATTCTTTGCCCTAAATTTGTTGTAGAGGAAATACGTAGATGCTGAAAAATTAAAGTGAATTAGATGTAGTTGGATTTGATTTTAAATTTTCACCTCATACAATATAAAAATAAATATTTACTTAAACAGAAATACTTTGATGCGATTATCAAATGTCTTAAAATAGTGAAATTTTCTTTCTTGCAATAGACAAAATTAAAATTCCAAAAACGAAGCACCTTTTCACCATAAAAAAAGAATGCATTTGAGGTTATGTATATTATTGTCCCAACTTCAATGATATATAATGAAATTTCAACAAGATATTGTTTCTTTGAAGAAAGATAATGATGTAGAATAACATACTAGCTGAAAGTGTGTCCTATAGAATATTTAGTTTTCTCGGCATCGTTATGCAATTGCAATTGGTATGCCAAAATGGAATTGAATGGAATGAAATGCGGAAGGACTGGAATGATGATAATGCCATTTGTTTGGTGAATTATGCAAATGGCATAGAAATTCTTGTGTCTGGTTGTAGAGATAATTTCTCACACAAAAAAATCAGTTTTATCATGATTATATGAAAAATCCGAAAGTTACGCGAACTGACGTGAATATGTAAGTCTTATAGTGCTTTTCAACAACACAATTGACAAGATTACAAAACCCAATGATGATACGTGAGTACGAATTGCTGACCCTAACTATTTTTAAGAAAAAAAATTTGTGGGAATGAAATTATATGAGAATTTATTAATAAATTTAATTTACATTGTAAATGTTTTAGTACAATTTTACTAGATTGATTAGATTTTATAATAATTGAATGGTGTGTTAACATCGTTTTTTTAAAATATAATCTTGAATTATCATATTGTACATTGATTTGAATTTATTAACTATAATATAATATTATTAATCAGTATTTATTTCGAATAGTGTAATTATCAATATTTCTCTATTTTTATTTACAAAGATGACTTGTCTAGCGCTAATCATGTCTTCTTATTATTTATTATTTATCAACTACAATTCAAGCTTACCAATTATTCATTATTGAGTGTGCTAATATCATTTATATTTTATATGACATAAATATTTGATTTTCATAATTTCTTTTTTCAGAATCGAGGAATGGAATCATGATAAGTGGGGGAATCATAAATGCTTTCTTCTAAAGACATGTTAGCCCAACAATGTCTTCTCCAACCCAAATCCCAGGCCTCAACAATCCTTTGACAACAACGTGGACGAACGTCGGGAAACAGGAGAGAGCGAGCGATCGGGCGATCTTGCATCCCGAACCACCGCGGTCACGTCCCGCCACCAACGGTGATCTTTTCCGGCACCTCCAACACCCCCATGGTTTAGATAATAGATGAAATCTATGGCTTTTGTGAAGGTGGGTGTTGACACCTATTTTTAATTGCCTAGAATTAAATGCACAAAATTTAGGAGTTAATTTTCTTTAATTCCTAAAAAAAATATTTCTATTTAATTACATTGCATATAGATATTAGGCACATTTGCATTAATAGGGTCTATTAGAATATTTTTTTATAAAAAAAACTAAAAAAATTAAATTAAATTAAAAAAATCCGGGTTGGGCCGGGTAGACCTGGCCCTTTTCTTTTTCCTTTTTTCCCCCGCACGGGCCCAGCCCACTTTCCTTTTTTCTTCTTTTCCCCCGCTTGAGATGGGCCCGGCCCGGCCGAGCTCCCTTTTCTTCTTCTCCGTCCCCTCCCCACCGCCGTGGACACCGAGAAGCAGAGGAGCAGAGCACCCTCTCTGCACCAGCCTAAGATGGCCAAAAAAGTCTTGAATAGGAGCATAGGCCGGTGCAGAGCATTAAACTGACGTCTTCCGGGGCAGAATCAAGTGGCCGTCGGCCATGAAAAAGACCAGAGGAAGAGAGAGAACAGGGGGGGTCGGCTGGTTCGGTTTTGGCGAGCAAGAACAGAGAGGCCGTGAGAGACAGACCCAGAGAAATTGAGCGAATTTGAAAGAAGACAGAGTGAAGAGGGAGCCTAAGTCAGCCTCACCGTTGCGCGTAACCTCCGGCCGCCGAGCCAGGGGCGGTTCTGAACAAAAAACAGAGAGAGAAGAGACAAAAAGAAACCGAGAGATTGGGAGAGATTTTGAGAGAAATTGTGAGAGCTGAGTGTTCGCAGGTTGAATAGGGAAGCCAGCCAGCCTTGCCGTCGCTATCAAGCCGACCGGCGACTCCCGGAAGCACCCCCCGACCAGTAGGTTCTTCTCGGCCTTTTTTGTACCCTGCTTTCCCCTGTTTTCAAGCGCAGGTTGGCCGGGACTATCGCCGGCCGTTAGGCGCGATCCCTGCCCATACCGATCCTCCTCCTGGTCCATAGTCGCCGTCGGGAGCAATCCATAGTCGTAGGAGCAGGCTGGAACCTCGAAATACGTCAAAACTCCCCTGTTTAGGTCATGTACTCTACATGTTCGACGAAATGCCCACATGAAGTCCGTTTGAGACGATCCTCGGTCGGCGATGTACAGGCTGTCCGGAAACCTTTGAGCCCTTTGAGCGTCTTGTGACGGCCATTGGAAGCCGGAACAGGTCAAAGTATGACCTGGGTCGACCGGCCAAGTTCCGACCGACGTTTGGGCTCAACAAGCCCCAGTCGGAGCTTGACTGGCTACCGCTCTGGTCGGCCGTCCGGCGATCCGTCGCCCCCAATCTCTTCAGCTTGAAGTGCTGAGGAGATAGGGACCAATGGCCGGGCAGAACAGCTGGCAAATCGCCGGATTTCTGCCCGGCCGAGCGAAGCTCTAAAACAGGGGAAGAAACCGGGTCTGTGAAGGGGGAAAATCCGGGTCGGATCCGGGTCGGCGCGAGGAGCCCGATTGGTGAAAATTATCGCAATGGAAATCCAAGCAGCACCGCCATTGTTGCTATAGATCCCATGGATATGACAGAAAGCATGCAAGAGGCTATGCATAGGTCAAACTGGGACATGAGGTATACATGAGTATGTACTCGGCACTTAATTATCCTTTCCTTTTGCACTTTATCTTTTTCTCCATTCATTCTTTACCTTTTTTGGGCCACTTCTGCGTTCCGATTCCACCTGTCTTGGGCATGCGCACCGATTAATCACTGTACGTTTTTTGTCCAGTAGGCTGTCATGACCTCTCAATCTTAAATTTAGTTTTTGCATTGTTGGCTCGCAGTGGCGCCGAGTATGTGAGGAAAGAAGTGCCCCTGTATGTGTTACCCAGCTCCTCTCTCCTCAATGTTGTTTCACCTCTAACTTCATTTACGGACCTGCAACGTGTCATTTATGAAGAGGAAAGGGCAGCATATGTTGAAACCATCAGACAAAATATGATGTGGGACTTGAGTACCGCCACTTTCAAGCATCGTGTTTCTGTTACTGTTCTCCTTGCGGCATTTATTTTGACTTTCCGCGCTTATTTTCCATCTAGGGATGGGAAAGCACATCCGCTTACTTTTATTCATCACACCTCAACGTATCAGGCTTCCATGTGCAAGTTAACAGAATACTGGCGAGAATCTATTACCTTTGATGCCCATTGATTTTGTGTCACTGTTGATTTGTACTGAATGCACATCTCTTTTTCGTTGGTTTTTTTTTTTTTGCAGTTTAAGCCCTGACATTAGAGTATTTCAGGATCGTGTGATAGAGAACGAGATTTGGGTAAATAACTAACCTACATTCAGATATTATGGGACAGTGAGGATCAGTCAACAGTCTTGCTGAAAAACCTCAAGTCTGCTCATGAATTTTGTTTGTTTCTCTCAATATTAACAGTTGAAAGGGAACTCTTTGAAGTCAAGTTTCAATAGCTTGTTATTGAGTGATCCGTTTTCGACCCCTCATTACACCATTTATGCTCCGAAAATGTCTTCTAATGTCTGTAGAGACTACTTGCCTTTCAAACAGATACTGAAGCTGGTGGATGAAGCAAAGAGTTTGGAGATGGAGGTCCAGAGAGGGCGTGATTCGAGTTCAGGTCACCGGGGAAGTGTATATGGTCAGAGAAGCGGGCCTAGTCCATCGGAGTCAAGCAATATAAGGAGCATCATCAGTAGCCCCGGCAGCCGAAGCAGGAAATGGCCCCAGTGAATTGCTAAGCTAGCCTAATCTTTAGTGCATTCTGCAAGGTGTCGTGTCCGGGTGATGTATTTGCTTGCCCCGATTTGGTTTTGCAATCTTTTGAACCATCCGTGGGAAGTGTAAGATGTGAGGTTTGTTCGCGGTCCCTGTTCTTCATCTGTAAATCGCGTGGTCCATTTTGGTCGGCCATTATACATACATTAGCGAAAAGGCGGACTTTCCGCAGCCACATTGTAATTGTTTATCCGGCATCATTACTACATGCTAGACGTGCAGACATTCCAGACCTGGGGCAGCTGCAGATGAAAAGCTCGAACTAGGAAATTAGGAACAGTGGAATCTCTTGTAATCCTCATCATGAAAAGGAGCCTGATGGCCAGTGACATGAACCTTGAGCTGTGTGATGAATCTGTCGTTTGAGCTTTTGGTACATCCACGCAATTCACCAAACTATTTGTACTGTAATAACTTCATATAGACCTCTAAGACGACGGCTCTTAACCGGAGATGCCATGATACATATGGACTCGCAAAATAGGTCCATCGCGAGTAACCCTTAACTAGAGACTAGCGAGCTAAGGCCCAGAACTCGAGGGTTGCCTTTTATGTATTGTGCAGGTTCGTAACTGCGCATCGAGATGCTCGATTCTCGGCAGCTTAAGCCCTGCCATTACTTAGGGCGAGAGAGAGAGAGAGAGAAAGAGAGAGAGATTCGGGCAACTGGACTACCTTATTGAGTGTGCCAGAGTTACTACTATGGCGCGATTCTAGCACGGCATTGCGATGCGCAATTGTCACTTATATTAAGCCTTTCGAAAGTTTGAGGAAGCTCGGGATTTGAAAATTGTCCGTTGGCGGCGCGTTAAGAATCATGCGACCTATGAATTAACACTAACAATTCGATCATTTGATCATTTTCAACACTAAAACAACCGTGACCATGATGTGTCTAAAGCAATCTTCCTGCTTTTCTCATTTGAGATATGAACACCCACACTTCATCCGTCGCCGAGTATTAAACCCCACAAGACCGAACTGTGTAATCATGAAGATAAACCTGCGTTGGTGCTAAAAATTAGAGAGAAAATCACATAGACCGCATGATATTGGGAAGAAAAGAAGATAAAAGAGAGAGACCCAAGATCAGTATTCCCATTTCATTTCACTGAACCACGATGATCATATTTGTGGTGTTTCCGCCGAGGCGAATGCCATGACATGAACACAACGGTTACTTGACAAGGAATCAAAGTAGCTGAGGAGACTGTCGATTTAAGTCAGAGACCTATAGCAAAACCCTAAAGAGAACCACCACCAAAACCTCCCTTTTTTTCCTAAGATGGTGTCCTAAGATGGTTGCCACAGAACCTCAACGATCACCTTATGCTGCACACGTGAAAATCGCGTACCAAATGACGACACACGTGAAAATCGCGGACGTGACCGCGAAGCACACCAGGTTAATCCAAGTCAGGGTTGTCGAGCCAAACCCGACCTCCGCCAAGGAGGCCTCGTGATTAATGCAGTGCTCGAGCAGCATCTGCCGAGCCTCGTTCAGCTTTGCCCTGACGTGCTCCATCTCCGAGGAGTACCTCCGCAGGCGCCGCAGATCGCTGGAGAAGTAGGAGCAGTGGGCGGCGAAGATGACGAGGGACAGCGACACGGGCATCCACACGAACTGGCAGATCATGTACCGCGACCTGGCGGCGGCGGCAGCGGACGCCATTTGGAACATGCAGAAGAGGTGGAGGGCAGTGATCTCTAAGGAGCGGACCGTGAGGCCGTCAATGCTGCAGGCGAGCTCCTCCATTCTCCGCCCAAGCTGGTCGGCCCTCTTCCGAAGGGCTACGTGCAACATTGCCGGAGAGCGCTCTGCGCAGAACCGAGGGATCCAGAAGACGACGACGACGAAGGACGGTGACAACGGTGAGTGCTTTTTTTAGGGGGGAGAGAAAGCGGACTCTAAACATCCGACGGTCGGTGCTTCTCGCGCGGGTCTCCATCTAACGGCTCCGGATCAGTTGATCTGTGTGGGCAGGCCGGAGGGTGAAAATTTCACGAGAAACGCGGTAACAAACTTTGATTAACGATATCTTAAATTTTTCTTTTTTTTTTTGTGGTTTCTACTATATGTATTCACTCTTCTTGACCGTTTCCACCGGTTCAATCCAGTCTGGTCGGATCGCTTATTTCTGGTTCAAAAATTTGAAATCGAGAACTTGACCAATTCATGCGAGAACCATCCAGAATCAACCGGCTCGGTCCGATTTTCGAGTTGGATCGGAACCGATGCACACCCCTATTGTCGGTCACTGGTAGTCGGCACCTCCGATTGCCAATGCCACTGCCACTGCCATTAATTGCCGCCGGTTGAGGTCGCGGTTTGTTGGTCGTTCGCTGCTTTTCGTAGTTGATGAGAAGTATTCTTCAGGAAGGCCATAATTCTTTGTCATCCAAACGTTTGAATCGTCCTTATTCATGCGTTGGTGGGTCAGCAAGAGAACCATGATTAGTGGAGGAATCATAAATGCTTTCATCTAAAGACATGTTAGCCCGACAATCTTCTTCTCCAACCCAAATCTCAGGCCTCAACAATCCTTTGACAACAACGTGGACGGACGTCAGGAAACAGGAGAGAGAGCGATCAGGCGAGCTTGCATCCCAGACCACCGCAGTCACGTCCCGCCACCAACAGTGATCTTTTCCGGCACCTCCAACACCCCCACGGTTTAGAGAATAGATGAAGTCTTTGGCTTTTGTGAAGGTGGGTCTTGATTTGGATGGTTGGAGCTTTTCAGTGCTGACAAGCAGTTGAATCGGATGATTCTTCAAATTATTTTTCATTGTTCCTGTAATTGAATCCTTTTCTCTAGTCGATTGCACACGTCTTTCAGTTGAATGCCTTTGTTTCATTCCACAGAAATTGCAAACTACTTGTACTTTTGCTAACTCTGCATACCATGAGGGAATTGCAACTGCAGATCAGAGCGTAGCGAATTAGGCGCTCTGCGACAATGGACAACATTCATAGAATCCTCGAGCAACGCGTATTAGGATTTCCTCGTGGCCGCGGCGAGTGTTCTTGAGGCATGTGAAGCATCCGGGGCCCAGGAAATTGTGACATCCTAAAAATTCGTCTATTTGGGGTTCATAAATACCGAGCTTTATAAATGTACTTTCATGATTAGTTCTTTGCACGGAATCGATCATTCCCTTGATACTAACCATTAGGAAAGGCCAATTAGGGAATTAAAATTCGCGCGACTATTAGAAAATTCGATCGTGAATTTAATTTCGACCATGAAATCGCCGATGTGATATTTTGAGCCACTGTTGGCCGATCGAATGATAGTCAGGGATCAGTTCGCCACTGTCATAGTAGTGGATCGCGGGTGATTCCGCTGGATCACGAAACGAATTGACGAATGATCCTAAACCTATACCGAACGATCGTACCCCACGGATCTAGCGATTGATCCTCGCGATTTTAATGACAACCGAAATTTTCACGAACCGAATGGACTTGCACGTGACTCGATATATTATCAGTCATGAGTCGAATCCGCGAATTTCCCAAACGAGCCACCCGTTAGTTTGAGAAACGCTCGAGTCGCGTTTAATAAAATTTGATTATTTAATTTAGCCCAAATCGGACTCCGGAAAATTTGGAAGTCACAACGGGACGTTAGGACGACGTTGCAGTTGTAACATGCAATTTTTGTTGTGCCCGAATCCTTCAGAAAAACTTGATTTTGATGAGAAACGGAGAATCGGACCATTTTACCCTTGAGAATTAACAAAGGGCATGTTTTGTGGGCAAAGGGCATTTTGGTCATTTTGCCCTAACTTTTTTATTGGACAATTTTACCCTTTGACTTTTTGAGAAATTACAAGTATACCCTTGGATATTTTTGGCAAGATTCGATCTGGACCGTCGATTTCAAGATAAGATCGAATCGGGACCGTTAGATCAAAATTGTGAAAAAAGGGCATTTTGATAAATTGCCAAAAAGGGGTCAATTTCACTATTTAGGTCTAATTGACCAATTCTCTTTCTCCCCCAATTCTCTCTCTCCCCTTGCCGTGAAATTTCCCCCCCCCCCCCCATTGCCGTGAGCTCTCCCCCCCCCCCCCCCAACCGTACATCTCTCTCTCTTTGCTGTCGCCGCCGCGCCATCACCGCCGGCGGTCACGCCCGTCGGATCGCCGCCGCGCCACCGCCGAGCCTCACGCCCCCATCCCGCCATCCATCTCTCTCTCCCTTTCCCTTTCGGTCCTCCCTTTGGCCGTGAGCCTTGCCGGCCACCGCCCAAGCCGCACCGTCGCCGCCCAAGCCGATCGCCACCACCTGGGAGCCGTACGTCGTCACCGCCGTTCCCGATTAAGTGCCGCCACTTTCCGTTCTAGCCGCGATAGTCTAGAACGCGGGTAAGTCGCGCTCTAAACCCAACTTAGGACTTCGGGTATCAACGGGCGATTTTTGGGCGAAATATGTATAAAGTTAGGTGCGGAATTGCATGAATTAGGAGTGGAAATTTTGTGGCGGGCCTTAAGAATTAATTCGGGCAATATTTATTGGAAATTAGAGAATAACAGTGGCTGTGGTCTACTGTTCATGGGGCTGTGATGGGCCGATCGGGACGCAAGTTGGATTTTTAGAACCGAGAATTTATGGTGAAAAAGTCCCGTGAAGGACCGAAATTAATTTGACGTCGTTTGGTAGAAGAAAAATAATGATTTCGATATTAACGGACTAGTGTTCGGCAAATTTTGTGGTTTGTTTCATGGACGAATTTATCGAGTTCACCTTGGGTGAAATTATGGCTGGAATTATGATGGTTTGGGGGTTATTTAGAGAGTAAATAAGGGCTGCCTACGAGAAGTATATATGCTGGAATTTGTGGTTCGGAATAATGTGTTTATGGCTTGATTTGTGGTGTATATGTGTCGGATTGTTGTGTGATGTCGTGGCTGAATTGTGAGGGTCCTTGTGACCGAAATTACTTGCGATTGTGATGGTTATATGTGTGTTTATGAGCTATGATCATTGGTGTGTTGGTTGAAAAATGTACGTGTCGATTTATGGATTAAATGAAGGAAATTTGGAATTGTTTGTGAAAGGTTGGGCTGAATTAATTTAGTTGAAATTTGGACATGTTTATGTGATATTTGAGCATGTGGGTGTGTATGAATTTACGTGGAGCGATGTGTGTGTGATCACTAAAAACCCTGAGACGTTTAACGTGGGGTCCAGATAAAATATAGTGTGTGGTATGCCCGTTTGATCACATAATCCCTGAGGCGTTTAACGTGGGGAATTGAACCCGTCCTGAGGCGTGTAACGCGGGACGATGCCCGGTATTACCGGAAGACTGCCAGCCTGAGGCGTGAACTTCTACACGGGTTGCGCAGTAGGTGGTAGATGTTGAGCCTGAGGCGTGTACGTTTAC